CACCTGGGTCAAGTGGAGGGCACTCGACTAACCATGGACCAGATACCAGGGCGTTTCCACAGGGAGTCTGTGGCGTTGTGGCAGGTCTGACCATATTAGCAAAGTATGCCCATACCTTACCGCAACCTGCCATTTCTGCCAACGGAAAGGGCACCTTCAGTCTGTCTGTCTGCAGAAGAAGAAGGCAACAAGCCAGCGGTGAAGACCATTTACAAGCAGAGACTTCAGACGGTGAAACGGCAGGAGAAAATCCCTGAGCTCCTGCAACGCCATCTCTCTGAACGGAAAGAAGTTCGTTTTGAGATCGACACTGGGTGCGGGAGACAACTTTTGCTCGGGGGACGCTCTGGGTAAATGCTGGGAAGCCATGCCTACACGCAGCCAACAAGCCAATACGAAGGAGCTACAGGAAATCAGCTGACGGTCCATGGGCACGTTTACAGGCGAATGCCAAGCTGGACCACCAAGAAACTCCGAAGCGGCGGAAAATAGAGTTCACGGTGACGAAGTTCCAGCGCTCCACTGTAGGTCGTAGCGCCATACATGAAATGGGAATAGACATTAATGTTTTTTTTCATCGGCCGCTCTTTACCCGATGTACCAGTGCATACGCATATCGAACGATCTGCATCCAGATTGGTCGTTACAGACAGCCTGCCAGCAGGTTTGTGATGAGCATCCGGAGGTATTCAAACGGGAGCTCGGATGCTTGAAGGACTTTGAATGAGAGATCAAGTTCCAAGCGGGATGCGAGGCCCGTATATTCTGCAGCGCGCGGCCAGTCCCGTACGCAATTCAAGTGGATCTGACACAGCATATGATGCCGGCATCAGGAGGGGTGTGTGGAGCCGCGACAATTCAATGATAGGTGGCACACCCGTCGTTCCGATCAGGAAGGTGGGGCCACCTGGCGACGCCAGAAACCGAAGCTACGAGTCTGTGGGGATTACTCTTCTACGGTAAACTCACAATTAGATACCCACGCGACACGCCTATGGCCTCTCCCCCGAGGATCTCATGAGGAAACTGGGTGGAGGACACGGTTAACTAAACTCAGCCTGGCGGATGCTTCACAACCAGATAAAGCTCGCTCCTGAAGCCAAGAAAGGCTAGCCTCAGTACACACCGAGGCGTACTGCTTCAACTTCGGCTGCCGTTCGCATCCAGTTCGGCACCAGGTTATTTTCAAGAGATCATTGGAACAGTTCACAGCTAGTGATCTACAGGGAAGTGGCAGTCTACCTGGACGACTTTCTCGTCAGGCGGTGCCACTGCTCAAGAGGCATCTCCAAAATCTACCGCGCATTGCTTCAACGCTTAGAAGAGAAAGGGCTACGATGTCGCATGGAGAAGTGCTCATTCGCTCAACCCGCAGTTGAGTACCTGGGCCACAAGCTTTCAAAAAGGGGATTGAGAAGGGGGCTAAGGTCAACGCGGTGTATCAAGATGCCGCACCGGAAAACGTTCAGGCCTGCGTTCATTCTTGGTCGGTGCAGTTCTATGGCAAGTTTCTCTCTAACTTAGCCACTCTCACCGAGCCTCTCTCATCGACTGACCAAGAAGGACATACATGGCGACCCATCCCTGCCGATGGGTGTCATGCGATGCATCAGAGTTGGCATTGGAGCAGTGTTGTTTCACCGCTATCGAGACGGCAGTGAGGCCGCCCAATTTGCTAACGTATCCAAGACGCTGACAGATACACAGCGCTGCTATAGCCAATTTCAGAAGGAAGCATCTAGCTGTCATTTTTGCGCTAAAGAGAATTTCACCAAGTTTCTATACGTCGAAATTTTGTTTTGGTTACAGACCATAAGCCGTTGCTAGCGCTGTTCGGCAACCAAGGAAACGCAATGCTGGCGGCCAACTCGTTTGGCTCACTGGGCTTGTGATGCTTAGCCAGTACGAACTACACAATAGAATATAGAAAGACGTCGGACCACGGGAACGCCGATGCGCTCAGTCGCCTGCCAGTGGGACCTGACGTCATCTTTGATGCGGGAGGAAAGTGAGGCAGATGTTCGGCACTGTGTGCACTATTAAAACGGTGAGCCTACAGCTACAGCCAACGGACCCTGGTGTCGTGGGAAAGCAATCAGGCAAGGATCCTGTGATTGCAACGGTGATGCATCATACCCGTGAGGATGGCCACCTGAGGATTCACGTTGAATGTGGAGGAATGAAGAGTGCTATTCAGTCAGAGACTTCAGGAAAGCTGGCGGATTCACTGCTGACAGCCCATGGGGTGTCTGCTATATGGTTCCAGAGTAGTCATCCTGAGAGTCCTGCATCAGCAAGTGCTTCAATTGCTGCATTTGGGACACTTCGGGAACAGCGGATGAAGCACAGTCGCACGCACCAGCGGTATATTGGCCTAGGATTGACACTGACATTGCAGAGCTGTGTCACAACTGCACTGCCTGCGCAGAACACCAGAATAAACCAGCAAAGCCGGCCAATCATCCGTGGATGCTGCCAGAGAAACCCTGGAGTATGAATACACCTGGACCATGCAGTAAATTCCTAGGAAGCAACTGGCTGTCCTGATCGATGCCTACTAAATACCCTGTATACACGCGACAAATCTACATCGACGAAGGCAACATGACCTACTGGAACAAGACTTCGCATCACTTCGGATATCACAACACCGATTGTGACCGACAATGGCACTACACGTTCATGTCGGAGGAGTTCCAGGCTTGGTGTCGCGAACGAGGCATCACTCACTTAACAGGACCCCTTATCACCCAGCCCCAAATGGAGCCTGCAGAACGCCTGGTCCAGACTTTCAAGGCAAGGACTCAGGAAGTCGACGCTGGCACAAAAGTTGCCCTGCCAGCAATTCCTGATGCAGTACGTCGACGTACACCTTTAGCGGAAAGATTTCGCCAAGTGAGCTACTCAATGGCCGACAGATCAGGTGCCAGATCGATTCTCTATTGCCTTCTCCTGGCGATTGGGCACAGGGAAAACAAGGCTAAAGAGGCAACCAAATCACAGCACGGTGAGACAAGTCGCATCGGTTACTAGACTAGTGCATGCCTACTCACTAGTGCTCCATGTATTGCACTTTACTGGCGCGCCCGCGGCGAGACCGAGACACAAAGTGGGTCCCGGCGGTTATCACTAAGGTACATGGTGCCCGCAGCGTCAACGTGCGTGTCTACAGCAGAGGACCGTGTGCGTAGAACACATTGAACAGCTTCGCTCCTCGCTATGGGGTTGAAGAGGACACGGATCCCGGAGAGACCCCCCGAGTTATCAGTTTCGGGCTATCCGCAACTCCCGCCTATCCATCCGAAAGGACAGGACGGTTACCCACGTGGAAGACACACCGAATCCTGAGTCAGCAACGTCAAGTGTAACCAACCGAAGCGAACGAAGCGTCGCAATCCGCGCCGTTCCAGTAGGTGACGAATACGGGCCAGATCATCCCGAGAGTTCCACGTCGACAGCCGAAGCCGCGGACCAAGGCTTATCTATAGGCTATACCCCTTTCGCCTCTCCGTTGGGCTCGAGGCTGGTGGGGAGGTGTAACATATTGTATCATTTTCCCATATTAGGCCCAATAGGTGGCGCTATAAATATTTCCTAAAGCATGTACTTGCGTGGTCACTCTACTACGTGGCAGGCGGAGAGTGGCTGGAAATAAATCCTTTGTTTGAGTTTACATATATACGTCAGCTCTTACGACTTTACTTCTAGAAATACAACAAATAGTTTCATATGGTTTCGTTCAGATTTCAGTAAAACGAGAGAGAAGCGCCACGAAGCGCCTCAACAAAGGAGTATAGAGCTTCGAAGTGATGACGTCACGGTGGCATGACAACGAGCCCACTGGTTCTACACAATCATATGCTCTGGTAACATTAACTGCGTGTCGTGTTTTGTACCCGATTGCAACCATCATTCTGAGAGTCATTATTGCAGTTTTTATAGATTTCCAAAGGATGGAAGTGAAAAGCAATGAAAAAAAATAAAAAATAATAATAATTAAAAAAAATAATAATTAAAAAAAATAAAAAATTAATTACGATTGACTTGCTACCGATGCTTTACCGCTGTCTGCAGCGCACACACTCGTGTTTTACGCACGCACAACATTTTCACGCAGTTAATGTTATGGAGCCAGTGGGTTGTGTAGAACCAGTGGTTCGTTGTCATGACAGCGTGACGTCACACTTCGGTACTCTATTGTGCTTGCAACAGAGTTGGGCTTTTACCTGCTTGTGAGGGCAAAACTAATCTTACCCATTTTTTTACCCTGCTTCTATAGCATATGATTCGCAGGAAATGACATGGGTTAGTTTTTTTTACGGCACCTGACATTATGTAATGATTAAATTCTAGTAACTATACGAATTTCAACTGTTGCCATTGTTCCATGCTTCATTTTGTTTCAACGTTCACGTTCATTGTTTAGTGTTCATTGTTCATTGTTCAGTGTTCAGCATATTGTTCCATGTTTAATTGTTCGATTGTTTTTCCCCATGTTTACAATGTGAAAATTATACGATTAAAGATAGTCTCCGAAATTAGTTGAAATTTAATTTTAATGTACGTATCACAGAAACGTTTCCAATAACCATATTGGTCTCCAGAAGAACTCTAATACATTGCAATGTAAAGCTTGTGTATGAATTAAACAAGTTTTGCCAATGAGTGATTAGTAATTTCACGCACAATTGCACTTCTAACATTTAGGAGTTCGTAAGTAATTAATCTTAAAGCGTCAAAGTATATTTGCTCTTCGATCTGAAACCGAAATATTGGCCTCACGGTGTACAGTTAGATGGAATGTCCAGCGATACACCTCCAGCTATTGTGGTCTTAAAGTCAAGCCACTTTATGGCAGAGCCGCCATTAGAAAGACAAGAGGTTCTGATTGTGCAACCTCAGCATCAGTCAGGATAGATGGTACACGTTCAGGTCAGCTAAATCCCCCACAAATGCTTGTTTCCACTAAAGTCCTTTGTGTATGTCAACATCCTGTCCTACTATGAAGTTAGCCCTGTGTCAGCGATGTAGCTTACAAGTTGTGAGGAAGTGCCAGTGTATTTCGGTTGGTCATCCAAGAAGATTTGGTGAGCTCCAGTCAGACTGTCATAGGTTGTGCATACAAAGTGCCAGTTGCCATCGGTGATTAAATAGTCGCAAACTTTGTTATGAAATAGAAAATTGAAACCGATCATCAATATTATGTTCGATGATAATTATAGCATTAATCAATAATGAATACAGTCATCATTTTTAAACAAGTTTGGCTACTGCGAAACCTCTTCACCTGATAGAATATGTACGCATCCTATTGATGTTGACATATGTAAACAAATCTATTTTGAAATGCGTTGGCATGAATTGATACTTACGCTCGAATGCCTTCGTTAGCCCACATGTAGAACCTCATACAACCGTTTGAGAAGACTGCATATTTCATCTCTTCGTTGGAGATGCCATCTCTATGGTATGTCCACACCGCGTGGTAGGGGCAATCGAATCCATACTTAGTATGACAGTCCACGAAGGAATCTGCGGGAACTCTCAGCCACAGACACACGGAGATTTGGTTAAAGCCCAGCGGAAAGGCGTTTGGGATGACGGCATAATCAGTAATAGATTTTGTTGGGAACTGCATAGAGTAGTCCCAGGGATGCTTGCAAAGGTATATGTCCTGATTCACCCTGTTTAGAGAAATACAATTTCATAATTTGTTATATAGGCTGCATAGGCAATGCGCATTTTAGTTGGTGTAAAGCATTTCACATGCCAGAAAATAAAAAAAACAAATATTGCCCGCTAAGAATCAATGTTGTCCGGTAAGCGGTGCTGCCACATTTCATGAACACTGTATTTTGCCACAAATGGCTGTCAGTGTGAACGTCAGCTCATTTAATGTGTAATATATATATATATACACTGTAGCCCTGTTATGACGCGATGGTTGGGGTCCATAAAATGTCATCGGCAAAAAAGCGGGTGCGCTAAATCAGGGTTATAATTCGTGCTATATAAGAGCAAAACAGGGGCCCAAGACTCATCGGTTATATCCGAATTCGCGTTAAATCGGGGCGCGTATTATCGGGGTTCCACTGTATATACATACATCAGTGCTCGAAATAAGGAAAAAAATGTGGTTGTCGTACCGCGAAGCAATTTCTGGTTGTCAAATATCTCCAAATCTCCTATTCTCAATCCAATAATAATATGATCAGAAAATACCAAAACAGTGGGCGTAGCCAGGATTCTTTAACAAGGGGGCGCCAAAAACATGCGAACTGCGCAAAATAGTCGGTATGGACTTAATACTTTTTACTGGCTGCCATGCGAAAAAGGTGACATTTTTGTTCATTGTTCTCTGCTCCAAGAATGTAATCTGTTCAGTGGCGGTCTAGGATTCCAAGGAGGGGGGGTGAAAAACAGGCGGGGTAGGGGTCCTCCTCCATAAAATTTGGAAACATTGCTCGGTTTGCTGTCCAAATCAGAGTTCACCTCTCATAAATTCAGAAAACCCTGACATTAAACCATGTTGGAAATAGCAGCTGGTCCCAATATTTATATTATCTTCACGATTTAATTCCTCGATTATCGATTTTCTTGATGAGCTAGAAACACGCGGTTTAAGTATGAAATGAACATTATTTGTGCCAGCTACCTATACCAGTTGTTGGGATTGATTGTCCAGTTTCAGATGCCAAATATTGAAAAGCAAAAGGTATACACCATCAGATTAATTGGTACCACGCATCATATAATATAGCCGAGTCGGTTTTCAGAAGTTAGTGTTAGGTTAGGGATAGGGTTTCCTTGCTTTCCCAACCGGGACAATGTCTCAAGATTGGTTAGGTTGTCCGGCGCAAATTCTGGTTGCTCGGACCAACCGGACAACGCTTATTTCGAGCAGCATGTACTGCATGCTTGCATGCACGCACAACACGCACCATACACACACACACACGGACACAACACACCACACACAACACACACACAACCACACAGCACCACACACACACCACACACACATCACACAACAACAGGATGACTCTCAGAGCTCTTTGCCCTTATTCAATGTGAAAAATCCCACAAGTCAGAATAATGGTTAACGTTATTCGGATTTGCATAGCATGGAGTTTGCTTAAACGTGTAGGAGAATCCGCATGTGGCTTCTGTCAGGGTTTAAAGGAAGCACACTAACCTGCTAATTTTTTACATCTACATGATATAAGCAGTTGCGCTCAGATATGCTACTTTTTCCCCCCAAGTCTGCAGGCCGAATCCGTACAATCAGTACAGCTGTAGGCTCACAGCTTGTGCAATCGCAGCAAGTTGAAGAGAAGCTGACAGTAGTAAAGCCCGTGTCTGTCTGTGCAGGTGAAGCCTTCACAGCATTCGCCATCTGCCATCATTGAACAGTGGCAGGCGAAATGGCTGCGCAGCATAGGTAGATATGATGCTGCTAGTAATGGCGTGTCGGATGCTACGGAGTAAATACTCTCTCCCCTCTCTCACCGCTGTTGCTTCACAGCTCACCAAGGCAAGCCCCAGCAAAAGGCAGCTAACCGTGGACGCCATACCATCTTCTTCCTGCTGCTGCCACTGTCCATTCTGGTTAATACGATCACAAGCACGTGTGGCTTCCACCATTGTACGTTGCTAATACGCAATATTCGGCGTTTCAACGCCATAAAATATATTACATTATTCTGCCATGCATTATTATGATTTAATTGAGCGACTTGTCGTCATATTAATAGATATGTAGACCAGAAGTGGAAAAAATCGTATAAATGTTTTTTCTCCCTTAGGCTAATGTCAAATAAGTGACTTGCCAATTTGCACAACAATGTTCTCGTTTGTCACCATTTCATTTATTAGGCTGCGTTGTCCTGTGATGCGCTATCGGAGTCATAGTGATTAGCGGCAATGTAACGCTAGCAGAACGATAGGTCGCCGTGCCCGCCCTGCTACTCGTCTCTCAGCTAATAAATCAACACCGATGTTGTGTAGCTTAACGTTGAATAAATAATCGTTTTCATATGGTTTCGTCCAGATGTCAGTAAAACGAGAGGAAGCGCCACGAGCGCGTCAAAAGGAGTATAGAGGTCGAAGTGTGAGTCACGGTGCCATGAACAACGGAGCCGCACTGGTTTCTACACATATCATATGCCTCTGTCACTTAATTGCGTGTTTCGTGTTTATGTACCGGATTGTAACCATCCATTCTGAGAGTCATTATTGAGTTTTATAATTCCAAAGACTGAAGTGAAAAGCCCTGAAAAAAATAAAAAATAATAATAATTAAAAAAAATAATAATTAAAAAAAATAAAAAATTAATTAATTAAATATTGTAAGATCGACTTGCTACCGATGCTTTACCGCTGTCTGCAGCGCACGA